TCCCTCCTTATCACCCACCCCCTGCTCCTAAACCCCCTGTAGACCCTTGTATCACTTATTATCACTGTGCATCCATTCCTCCTGTGCTTCACAAACTGAGAAACCCAACAGAAACAATAAAAATACAAAATAGAATTAAGGTGGTAAGGGTAAAAATAATAATATAAAGATAGAAATGCAAAAAATGAGCAAGAAAGAAAAGATCCTCATCAGTTCCAGGGAAGGAATTTTTGTCATGGAACAAGTAAGAGATACTTGCACCCAGAACAAATTCAGGTCGGATCTATAGGGAGGTCAATTGGCCAAATATGGAGTTTGCTCCAGCATAATCAAGATTACAATGGTCTGTGCTTGGTAGTAAGGCTGTTCAAGACCCTTGCCTGTGGCTAGAGGAGACTTGCCAGCAGCTTAGTCTGTAACTAGATCCTCTGCAGATGAATTTTGGGCTCCTATCGTCCTCCATAATCTTCTACAAATTGGGTGTTCATAATTTTTGCTCTGATACTGTTCCCTTCCCCATATTCGAAATTTGTAAGGATCATTTCTGGGTCACACAACGGGTGTGCTTCTTCCCTGTGGACTTAGTTGACTCCTTGCTGAGATGGCTGCTTGTTTGATTACAAGCCTGTAAGATCCCCCCCGACACTATTCTGATTGATAGCCAGACACCATCTACTTTCTTTACCACACTTTCCCGCAGCACCCTTATTTTGAGTGATCCTTTCATGAAGGTGAGTATCGAGTAGGGCCATGTTATCAGAACTACCTGTTCTTGAATTGGGGTAGGGTTAAGTAGGAGCCCAGACTCCATCTGTTTGTCCATGTCAGTTAGCATGTCTCAGGTTTAGTCTGGTGGTTGTAATATGAAAATCAAAGCCCTATAAGACCAACTGCACCAATAGCAGCTATAAGCCAGCCCATACTGGGTTTCTTGTGATTGAAGCAAAAGGAACCCATGGGGGCAGCAGGCAGGAAGATGCGGGTGTGCTGACCCCTATGTCACTGGACAGGCAGGTGTGGTTCTTAAGGCCCCACTGTAAACAGAGAGTCCTGCCCAAGCAGTGGTCTCTAAAGAAGGGTCTGTGTTATTCTTTTGTACAGGAGGCCGTCTCTTGGGGTGCTGCAAGAGATTAACAAATGAACATTTACCAATATTTCATATGTGGATTGGCACTGTCTCCCCTACCCCCAGTTTGTGGGTCAGACGAGAGGTTTTGGGGGTCTCCTATGGAGAGATTGGGGATGGAGGCAGGGTGCAGAGCATCATTGAGGCACCAATCCTTGTCCTTTACTGGAGGGTGTGTGCCCAGTTAAGTGGATATGCAGATCATAAAGCAAAACATGGTTTTAACTTAATATCCTTTATAACATGCAGATACATCCTAAAAAGGTCCCTTCAAAGAAACTAGAATTAGAGAATCATTTTGATAGCACAGCCACAAGTGACCAAAAATAAAATGCCAGAAATCATACTTTTCTTCGGCCTGTGGTCAGCTCAAATATGAGGATGACCATCTAGGCAAATTGGATGAAAAGTACATTTTCAAAAGCCCTAGAAGAGCCCTGGTGGCATAATGAGCTACGAATTAGGCTGCTAACTGCAAGGTCAATAGTTCAAAACCACCAGCTGTTCCTCAGAGGAAAGATGAGGCTTTCTGCTCCTGTAAAGAGTTACAGGTTCAGAAACCCCCAGAGTCTACTTTACCTTGTCTTCCCTAGAGGGTCGCTATGAGTGGGAATCCTCTCAAGGGCAGAGAGTTTGCTTGTTTGTTTGTTTATTTGAAATATGGGTCCACATCTATCACTACGCTCCTTGTGTTTTCATTAGTGTATATTTTTTCCTCGAGGTATTAATTCATGGCCAATCAGACGTAATAAGCAAAGCACATTTAAATATCAACATAGGGAAGAACGTGCTTAGTATTTCTCAAGTTGAACTCATTGAAGAAACAAAACAAACTTAAGCGTTGGGTCAAACGAGTGAAAGATTTTATGGGAGAAATACTTAGCAAAGGAGAAGGCATCCAAAAAAATGATGGAAAGAGTACACAGACTCATTGCACCAAAAAGAATGGGTGGGTGCTGACCCATTTCCAGAGGGAGCACACAATCAAGAATGGATGGTGCTGAAGGAAGAAGGCTGAGCCGTACTGGAGGCACTGGTGAAAACAAGGCTGCACAAAGTGACCGCATACCAATGGAAATGTTAAACAAACAAGTAAACAAACAAAAAATTGATGCAGTCCTGGAAGTACTCACTAGTCTATGCCAAGAAGCTTGGAAGATAGCTACCTGGTCAATTAACTGGAAGAGACCTATAGGTGTGCATATTCCAACAAAAATAACCCAACAGAATGTGGAAATTGTCAAACATCACATGCAAGTAAAAATTGTGCTGAGGAACATACAGAGCCAGCTGCAGCAGTGCATTGCCAGAGAGCTGCCAGAAAGTGAAGCTGGACTCAGAGGCAGACATGGAAGTAGGGATGCTAATGCTGACATTCGATTAATCTTGGATGAGAACAGAGGATACCAGAACGATATTTCCTTGTGTTTTATCAACTGTGCAGATTCAACTGTGTGAATTATAACAATTATGACATTTGAAGAATGGGAATTCCAGAACACGTCATTGTACTCATGTGGAACCTGTACGTAGACCACGAGGTATCATTCAGAGAGAATAAGGGGATTCTGAAGGGTTTAAAATGAGAAAAGGTGTGTGCCATGCCTGTCTCCTTTCCCCATACTTATTCCGTCTGCAAGCACAGCGAGTTGAGGAGCTGGACTTTCTTAAGAACTCAGTGTCAGGACTGCCCCACAACTCAGTGTTGTAAAAACCCTGCCAGGTGCAGGTGACTCAACCTTGCTTGCTGAAAGCAAAAAGGGCTTTAAGCACTTGGTGATGAAGAGAAAAGGCTACAGCTTTCAATATGGATTATACTTCAATCTACAGAAAACCCAAATCCTTACAACTAGACCAATCAACATCACGGTAAATGTGGAAATGTGGAAGTCGGCCAGGATTTCATTTTATTTGGATCCCCAATCAACACTCACGGGAGCAGCAAATGACGCGTTGCACTGGACAAACTTGCCACACAAAACCAAAACAATTCACTGCCATCAGGTTGACGCTAACGCACGGTAAACCTTTCGACAGAGTAGAACTGCCCCCGTGGGTTTCCAAGGCTGGAAATCTCAATGGGCGCAGAGTCTCGTCTTCTCCCACGAAGTAGCTTAGCTGGTGGGTCTGAACTGCTGACTGGACAGTAAGTGACCTCCCAGTTGACCCACTTTGCCACCACATAAGACATCGTTAGCATATTAAAGAGCAGAGCTGTACCCTGGAGGACTGCACGGTGCCTGACTTACACCATGACATTTTCAATCATGCAAGCTGAACAACAAAGCAAGCAGCCTGGAGAAGAACTGATGCATTTGGATTTGGAGGTGGCGAAGAATATTGATGTTTTCAGGCCTTCCAGAGGAATTAATGACAAACAAACAGTCCATCCTAGAGAAAGTGTAACCAGAATTCTCCCTAGAAGTGAGGCCCGTGAGACTTTGTCCACGCACTTTACATGTATGTTATCCTGAGAGACCAATACCTAGAGAATCATAACAGTATGCTTGGTAAAGTTGAAAAAACCCCAAAAAACAAAACGAACCTCTTCCCATGGAGTGTATTCCGACTCCTAGCCGTCTATGGGACACCGTGGAAGTGCACCTCAGGCCTTCTGGAAGTCTGTGAAAAGGTAGGGGAGGGAAAGCCTCATCCTTCTCCCTCCGAGTGGAAGTGAGGTCAAAATGGCGTTCGTGAAGTTAGCAACCCAGATTTGGAACGCACTGCAGCGCCAGGTCTCCTCGGCACAGCAGAGTCAGTGCAAAAGACCCCCTTCAACCAGATGGCTCGAGACAGTGGGTGCAAAGCTGGCAACGACGGTGAGGACGGTGCAGGACAGGGCAGTGTGATAGGTAAGGTGGCTCTGAGTTGCAACCCACGTGATGAGACCTAACTAAAAAATATCTTTAGCTCATTTTCCCACTAATTTCTATCTCTTGCGCATGATTGAAATGCACATAATATATCCGTAAACAACAAAACAAAACAAAACATAGACAGGAGTCACAAGCTCGGTATTTTTACCAACAGGGACATGCCATCAAACCTGTTTGGGAAACCAGTTGGCCAGCGGGGAGACCTGCAAGTCCAGGGCTTGAGAACAGGCCAAATCCTCCACCGGGCTGTTCTTTGTGCTCAGACCCTGTTTTGAATCTCCCAGTGTCTTGGCCAGATTCACCAGCCGGCAGTGAGCGGCTTGTGGGGAGAACTCTCTCTTCTGGGCCCCTGGCCTAGCAAAGGGTTTGGCCCAGAGCTGTGGACCAGGAAGGTTTCCAGGCCAACGGGGTTAGGGGAAAGGAAGCAGCTCTTCCTAGGGTGGGCCCATTGAGAGTGGGGGTACAGGATTTCAGGGGCACGAGGAGCAGTGAAAGGAGTTCATTCCTTGAGCCTAATCTTGTTCTTCCACATAATGCCCCCAGGAAGGTCTTTGCCTGTCATTCTCGGGTCCTCGTCCGCCCTGGGGTCGCGGGCAATTAATGCTCCTGGCTGGGTTTCAGCTTTGTGGATTGAGACAAGGCCGGGCAAGGGGAGCCCTCCAGCGAGGGCACGCGGACTTCAGGGACACAGGAGCCCCTGCCGCCCAGCGGGCTTCATCCGAATTCCTGGCACAGCGGGTTTGAATTGAGTTGAATAGATTTCCCTTGTAGTCAGCATTTTTTGGATAAATCCACCACCACCACCACCCCCCCGCGGCGCGTGGAGAGGGTGGGGTGGGTGGGGGTGCTGTCCCAGGGCTCAGGAAATGGGCTGGTCAGCAGGGGTGAAGAAGGAAGAGGGAGGGGGAGAGGGGCGATTGGGTAACCGGGCTGCACAAACACGGCGAGGTCAAAGATTGTGCTCAACCCACCCCGGGGGCGGAATATAAAGGGGCGCGGGCGCCCGAGAGAGGCAGCACAGAAGCTGGGCCCCTCTGTGCTCGCCGCGCCGCAGACCGGGAAGATGAAGTTCACCGTCAGCGCCCTGCTGGCCTGCGGAGTCCTGGGTAAGGGCAGTCGGGGTCCGTTGCTCCTCGGGAGCCCGCGGGGCGCCGGGTGTGGCGGCAGCAAACCAGCTGGGAACCTTGGTGCAAGCCGCCATCTCTCTGACCCCCGTTCCTGCCCTGCTGGTTTACCTGCGTTGTGGCCAGGCCTCGGAATGCACGGCGGTGGGACCTGTGCCCTCTGCAGGGTGTGTGGCACCAGACGCCTGGGATGGGAGCCCTGGGAGCACCCTCAGGAAGGTGGGAGTGGGGTAGGAGCGGGGGCTGTTTCCCATCTGGACAGGGAGCGGGTCCCTTACACCTCTGGCCTCTCTCCGCTAGGGCTCTGTCTGGCTACCTCTGACCAACTTGTGAAATGGTGCACCACGTCAAAACCGGAGATGGACAAATGCACTGATATGAAAGGGGTCCTTCCGGTCACTTGTGTGAGGACCACCTCCTACTACGAGTGCATCCATGCCGTGTCGGTGAGTAACTGCTGCCTAGAGATGGGGGCAAGGAAGCCTGTGGTTCTGCGAATAAAGTCACTTCAAAAATGGCCATAGGAGGGGGCGTGATGGAGTTTCACAGCCGATGCCAACACAGGCTGAAAGGTGACTAGAACCGTGGTTCTCAACCTTCCTATTGGGCAACCCTTTAACACAGTTCCTCAAGTTGTGGTGCCCCCCCCATCAGAAAATTATTTTTGTTGCTACTTCATAACTGTCATTTTGATACTGTTATGAATCGGGCGACCCCTGTGAAAGGGTCATTTGACCCCCAATGGGGTCGCGGCCCACAAATTGAGAACTGCTGGTGTAGAAGCAGTCTGAGCTCCAAAGTGGGGGGGCCAAGAAGATCTGCTTTCAAAATCACCATAGAGAATACGACCCAAGTCTCTAGGTGTTGGCCAATTCCTTGAATTTTTAGGTTTATCAAAATACAGTTCACCCATCCAACATATGTAAACACGTGTTAAACTGTGCTAGGCCATGGGTCTGTGGCAGTCAATTGAAACTTGCATGGTCCTTCGTCTCAAAATGCTTACAGGCTAGTCAAGAAAGCAGAAACATGCACACGAGTAAATATCTGGTTTTAAATCGTATGCTGCAATGAAGGGAAAGAGCAGGGTGCTGACAGAGACCCAGAGAGGAAACGGGTTTGCCTGGATGGCCAGGGGTAGGCTCTCAGAGATGGCAGCATTTATGTTGACAGTCAAGGGATTGGTTGGGCCCTGCAAAGAGCTACAGTGACTGATGCCATTGGCAAGGGGTCAAAGGCCAGGGAGAACCAAGTTTGTTTATGGAGCTAGCGCTAAGGGGAAGGCAGAGTTATGGGAGGAAAGTGAGGCGGAGGGTACTGGCAGGAGGGATCCAGTGGGTTTGGCCAACACAGTCAGATGGAACCTGCTTTGGTCTACAGAATCAATGGTTTGGTCTACAGAACTGGGTAGGGGTGCTATGTGCGTGTTTTAAATAGACACCATTGCCTTTAATAATAGTAAAAAAAAGAAAAAAACCCAACTTCCATCAAGTTGATTCAGACTCATAACACATTTTCAACTTTGGCCCATGCATACCATTTCTTCATTTTCAATTTATGTTAATAAAACTTAATATTAACTGAACCTACCACCTGCTCTCAAAACTTAATCATTGTCAATGATCATAGCTTGCCTCCAGAGCTATTGTGTGGCAGCATAGGCTTCTATGTGGATGGCACTCCTTGGGTAGTGTAACCTCCATTGGTCCTACTTACCTACGTGTTCACCCACCCAGAGGAACCAACATCCTGAAATTCTCGGACATTTTTATTTTAGTTGTAAAACATGTACTTGTATACCACACGGAACCCAACTCCATGCTGTTGAGTTGATAGCACCTCTATAGGATGGAATAGAATTGCCCTTAGGGTTTCTGAGCCTGGAAGTTTGATGGTGAGCCCTGGTGACGCAGTGGGCTATGCTTTGAGCTGCTACTCAAAAGCTGGTATTGACCCACCAGCTGTCCCTCGGGAGAGAGATGAGACCATTGGCTCTGTAAAGGCTCGCAGCCTTGGGAACCATAGGGGACAATTCTACTTCGTCCTGTAGGATCACTGCGAGTTGGATTCAACAGTAACAAGCTTGATTTTTGAAAACTTTATGGAAGTTGACTTTCTCCGAAGAGGGACTGATGGGTGGGCTATGCAGACCTTTCAGTTAGCAAGGGAGCCCTTAGCCCCTGTGCCGTCTGGGCTGCAAGTCATGTATGCCTAAAATGTATTGGTTTATGCTTATCTCTGTGTGGCCTTTTTTCATGCACAACACTAAACATTTCATACATAGCTACTCTGTATTGCATCTCACAGTTCCAGCCTCCCCAATCCCAAGGCTTCCTGATCTGTTGCTGGGCCCTTAAGTTGGTGACCACTCATGCGACGTTCTTTCTTCTGGGTTTAGTTATGTTTACCTAAGAGATCATGCTTGCTTTTAATCTTCTTACTTACTAGTGGTTGATATCCCACTTTGGATCTCTTGCTCCCGATCGGGACCCGATATTTTCGGCCTTGTCTACTTAACTTCCTCAGGACCCAGGACATCCTTGCCCAAGCTGTGTGCCTTGGTCAAGAGAACCTAGTCCCCTGACCACTTTCCCTGGCCTCATTGTTATTGGCAAAGATCTTCTCTATCGAATTTTATTTTGTAGTTTGTGTGTTTATGTTCTATAAAGAGAGTCTTTGAAAATTTCTCCTATTGTTTTGTGAGACCAAAGAGAGTATATGTACTTTCCAGGGTTAATTGTTATAGAACAGAAAGGTTCTTTGTATTCCTAGTTGTTTATGATAGTAGAAATAGATGTATCTGTCATCTAAAATATTCTGTGTTATATCATATTACAATACATTTTGAAGTGTATATACAAGAAAATGTGGCTCTCTTTAAGAATTCAGGTTAAAAAAAAAAGAATTTCTCAGTTTAATGGGAAGGCTGCTGTATTTCAAGTGATTCATTGGCTTACAGGTGAATGTCTACAAGTGAAAAGTCAAAATAGTACAACCAGCAAGTAAGTCTAATGACAAATACACCCAGATGGTCGGAATTCACATCCCAGAGGAACCCAAGCTTTCCAAGTGTCATATAAATCAGAGAAACATTGACATACTTTTTTAATGTAATTGCTTTTTAAATAAGTCAAGAAAAATACGCATTTATATTCTTTTATAATTATCCTTGACTGTGCTCTTTTACTATATTCTTAGTTCCTTATTTGCTTCCTTATTACTTTTTTACTGCAACTTGAGGGACGACTTGCAGATCACTTTCTTGGCCCACTTAACAATTCATACAGATTTTATTTCGTGCTGTTAGCTACAATCCCCTCAATAGCAGCATTCTCCCACTCCCTCCTTGGTTTCCCGTACCAGGTTGTCATTCTTTCCTGACACCTTCTCAACTGTGCACATTGGGTCCAGGCTGGCCCTTTGCTCTTGTGTGATCGGTTGTTCTGATAAGTCTGTTCTTCATGGGCATTGCTGGTCTCTCTATAACACTTCTAGTGTTGGGTTGAAGGGTGACTTCCAGGATGAGGCTCATAAGGATTTGTTCTTAGTGTTTTCCACACACCACAGGGTCCTACTCCATACAAATGGAATTGGAATCTTGGATGGGCATGGAGGTGACCTGGAAGTCTATACTTTTAATGAGTTGCACAGATTTAGATTGGTCTGATTTAGTAAATAAAAACACAGGAAATGCAGTTGAATTTGAATTTCAGATGAAGAGAAGAATATTTTTAGTATTTGTTTCATACAATAGTTGAGATGTTCACCGTTTATCTATTTTAGCTAGCAACCCTACCTAGGCGAGTCAGTGCCCATTGAAGACATATGGGTCACTAAACCAGCTACCAAGAAGTCCTTTTCCTGTGGCCCTACTCATTACTTGCTCTCATGAAGAGAGCACTGCAGATATGGGTGCCATTGCAAAGTGTGATTAAGAAGCTATTTGGTGCCCAACTATCAGAAAAAATAATATCTAGGGTCTTGAAGGCATGTCTTAAAACAGGCAGCCATCTAAATGAGACATCAAATAAATTCACAAGGAAGAAGCATACCAGCCTGTGTGATTCAAGGGTCGTAAATAATAAAATCCAAGGCCAGAGGAGGGGATGGTATTAGAGCTTAAATTCCAAGCACCCAGTTTGCAGAAGGTTATAGACGAAAGTAAAAGCCCAAAATCTGTTTGCAGGGTCCCCACATGGATTAGGCCTCTGCTGAATTCCTTCTGACCAGGGGTGTGCGTAGCCTAACTATCAGACAGAGTATGTTGCAAAGTAGATTAATGCAGATGTAGTTAAGTTAAAATTTAACACCTTATCATTTATTTTCCCTTTTAACCCACTTTAAATTTATTTTCATTTTGAATATTTCTGCTTTCCTTTCCATTAAGTTAAAATAATGTTTTTGGCACTTCATCAGCATATTGTACAATTCAATAGTTCAACCATATCAGGAAGAGTAGTAGAATCTTTACCACAACCAATTTTAGAACAGTTTCTTTTTCCCCATACTCATTGTTATTTATGTAATTTTTTTTCCCAGTTTGGCAAAAATATACACAACAAAACATTCACCAATTCAACAACTTCTACATGTATGACTCAGTGCCATTGATGATACTCTTTGTGTTGTACAACCATTACTGTCATCCCCTCCAAGCTGTTCCACCACCTCTAGTACATGAACTCAGTGTCTCCCAAGCAAAATCCATTGAGTTTTCCTGTGCTTTGTTTTGTTATCATTGTTGGTGTTTTTGTTTGTTCTTTGATATGTTTTTCTGTATATGAACTCCAGGTAAATCTATAGATACAGTAATGGGATTAATAGTTTCTTACATTTATGTATGGCAGGGGAGATTGGGAAAAATGAGGAGCTAATAGTGAATACAAGAAAGAAGAAACTGTTCTGAAATTGATCATGGTGCTGATTGAACACCTCTTTTTAATATGATTAACCCATTGAGTTGTATAAAAGAAGTCTATCTCTATTGCGAGAGCTACTTGACTACACCAGTATTTTCAGACGCCTACTAGTCCGTCTTGAGAGCCTTAATCCTAACTTCCCATTCTCATGGTTGACTCATTGTCCAAAAATGGCTGCCGTGGATCTAAACATCATCTCTATGTGCCAGGAAAAAATTTCAATTACAAAATTTAATTTAAAATTGAAATAAAAACAATAGTTTGTATCATACATTAAAATAAATTCCAGGCAGAATCAATAGTTAGACATAAAACACCATGATGAATGCAATGGGTTACCGGCTACAAGGAGGACTGAAGACAGCAACTGTGAAGCATTGGGATCAATAGGTTATCACAAAGGAATAATTTGGGAAGAAATTTTTAAACATTTAAAGATAAGATAAACAGAAACCAGGCCAAAATCTATTTACATAAATTATGAGAAAATATTAATATCTATGCTCTTTAAAGAAATAATTCAACTTAATAGGAAAATAAAAATAGCATGAGCATTTCATATAAAAACATAATAACTAAGAAATGCCCTCCTGCATTAGTAGTTGTAATTGAATTGAAAGTGCTTTAACATTTAAAGTTTTTAAAATAAAATAAGTTAAGCCCCAAATTCAACCTCATTAGATAATTATGCTAGCTTTTGCATACCTGGTACTGAAGTTACCTAAACTTTTCATAAAGCTTCGTTTATTTTACCTCATATCTCAATTTCCATTTCTACAAATGTTAGCGTTATCTTGAGTTGTTGTTACGTGGTTTTCATGGCATAGTGATTGTGCTGTGGGCTGGAATCTGAAAAGTCAGCAGTTCGACACCAGCAGTTCAGCAGGAGACAAATGGGGCTTTCTACTCCTGTAAGAAGTTATAATCTCGGAAACTCACAGGACAGTTCTACCCTGTCTCATAAGGTTGCCGGAAGTCAGAATGAACTTGAAGGTAGTGAGAGTGAGACACATCACTAAATGCCAATAGTCTTCATGTCAGACCACACTTAATAATACAAATAAAGCAAATTTATGATGGTGAAGGAAGCAATAAAGACTGTTAAGATGTATCCATTGGCTCTATTTTTCCACTCCCAGGATGCAATCTCAAGAGAACAGCTTATCAGAAGGAAATATAAAACCAGGGATAGTCATTGGTTTGATCGTGTGACAGTCCATTCTGACCTATTGTGACTCTATAGGACGGAGTAAAACTGTCCCACAAGTAGATCACCAGGCTTGTCTCCTGTGGAGCTTCGGGTGGACTTGAACCACTGACCTTTTGTTTAGCAGTCATCATTGTGCCACCAGAGCCCCTTAAATATGTTTATTAGAGCGATGCAAATTGTAGCAAAGACGATTAGAATCAACCACGATTGTTGAAATTTTCTGGGCATAGATATGCATGTTTATCCATAATTTGATAGATCCAGATATCCATAAAACAATGACGATTATAGCGCTATTGAAAATACTGACCAAACACCAAAGGCAGGGAGAAAAATCATATCCTCGTCAATGAGGGTGGCGCGTGATGGAGACCCAATGCCCATCTGTAGACAACTGGACATACCTTGCAGAGGGGTAGTGGGGAGATGAGTCACTTAGGGTTCAGTAGAACAACAATGAAACCCACAACCTTCCT